TTCCCCTAGGCGTAGTGCCCCGAGAACATCTCCCTGTCCCCGAGGCGCAGTGCCCCGAGAATGCACTTCAACAACTAAATGTCGACCCTTTAGTTTCGGTTTAGCTATATATAGTATTAAATCACTGATCTATTTAGATTGTATTTTATAGAAGGCTATAGGTTAGTGGATTTTGTTTGTATTATGAGTGAGCAGATAGTCCAATACTACTTTGTTTTTGTACAATTTTTGTTATGAATGAAATATGCAACTTAACCCGGAAAAAAAAATTCACATAGCACTCATTGACTTAGTTATCACATTGTTGTCTGTTATATCTAATTTCATTCACAAAAGGAACAGATACTAAAAGCTGATGTAAGATCAGTGAACAGATTTCTTCAGGCAATTTTCAGAATAATAGAAATTTCATGTTGTAAAAGCACAAAAGGAGCGGAGAAGTGTCCTATAATTTTGTAAATTCAACAATCAGGTAATGCTATTTATTCATCATAGCAACACCACAACAACTTGTGTTGGAAGAAATTTGTACAATAAAAAAAGAGTGTATCAGTGTCTGGAATGTGCAACACAATCTCATCGAGTGCAGAATTGACAGAGATCAAACCAGAACACGAACACAATACTTCCGACTGGAATTGACTACTTCTGATCAACTGTAAGAGGGTGCAAATTTAAATTTCTCATATCATTGTGATGGACAACATCAAACATACCAAGTCATTGCCAGATGAAGGGAAAAATCCATCATCCCCGTCTATTGAAATTTCTAGGTCTAGACGATTAATCCCACCTAAACATGGAGATGCTTGTTCCCGGTGTTTGTATCAGCAAAGTTCAAACAGTTTACCCTATGGGATATTCAAAAGGAACAAGGTCTTAAGAGATACGGAAAAGGAATCTTTTACACAATTCTGAACTTTGAATTTATACAGATTATGCAAGCGTTGGAAAAACAGGGGATACAAGTTGTCAACAGCCAACAAATACACCTATAAACTACAAATGTTGGGTTTGTATCAAGATCAGATAGCTACAATTCCCCTTGATCTAACAATGAAAACCCCTAGAATAACTTCATATGAAGAACCAAAGATCGAATTTAAAATCTGTTTTCAATTTGAACCCAAAAATAGAAGAAACCCCCGATTGCCAAATGTACAAGATTCGAGTATTGAGCATAGTTCCATAGCAGTTAAACAAAAAAAAATTATAATTTTTCTCAGCATAGCAGAAGAACACAAAAAACTCACAAAATAGAGAAATTTACAGCCTCCTTCGGAGAATTTGCACACAAGATTATCAAGCTTTCTTCTCAGCAGTATGTTGGACGATTTCTCAAAATTATTTTGTATATTTTTCATCAGAGTTTTGAAGTTGAAGAACAAGTGAAAGTAAATATAGAGGGACGATCCCTCATAACGGTCATATTTCGACGCTTAAATTGCACTGATTTTACTAAACTGCACTGCTAATGGTGAAGAAGAAGACCTCAAGAAGAAACCGATTTAGAAAGAATAAAATAGACTTCAATTATTTGTCATCTGTTGTGAAGTATGTTTGAGTGCCACGTGGGCCCCAAATATTAAAAGAGTTGCATTATTTTTGCAAATCAACTATACACACTATATGGAACTCTCCTATTAGAGGTATACATCACTTGGCCATAATAGGCCAAAGTTATACTTGTATATTAAGCTCATGGTTATAAATAGTATAGATATATATATATACCAATTACATTACTTTCTTATTATTTTTCACTTGTTTTCTTTTAGTTCACTAATATTAAGTTACTTAGCGGTTATTTTATAACACGTTATCAGCACGAGTCTTTATCAGTTCAAATAAAGACTTTAAAAGTCTCGAAGGTATAAATTTTCTTTTCTTAAATAATATCTAATCTTTCTAAACTTGAATTTCTTGCTCTAGATATATCGGGAAAAAGTTATCTATCATGGGTACTCGATGAGATTTGAATTTCTTGCTCTAGACATGTCGGGAAAAAGATATTTCAAGAATATAGTTTTTTTAATATTTGAAATTATAATTTTTAGAGAAATTAATTACTCATTTTCGAAGACTAACATTATGAGATTTGATATTCGAATTGGTTTTTAAACTTCAATTTTGATGATTCTTTATTAAAAATAGCTAACGAATATCTCAATGATTAAAAAACGATGTTTACAATGACGTATGTGTTATTTCCAAATATTTAGCGATCAATGTGTAAATATTCATATAACTTAAAGAAAAGTAGATAATAAATATGATCAACTATGTGCTTTTAAATTCCTTTCTTAAATGTTCCACACAATTATAAATTGTAATAAATCAATTTTTTAACTACTTTAATTTGAGATACTATTATATTTGAATTTGAACCTCGTCTGTCGTTGTTCATTTCAAATGTTTCCATTTCATCATGAGTTCGGGACTCCTATCGCAAGAATTGAACTTTTGTGTAATATAACATGATCAAGACGACTTTCCTTTCAAAATAAAGGAAAACATTTTTTAAAGCTCTACTTCATCATTTAATTATTTTTTCTTACCATACTCATACTCCATACCTAACCCTTCTTATCAAAAAAAATTATTTTTGAAAAATGTTTCAAATGTTAAGATTTTTTACCTCATTCATCCCTTATCCCCCCCCCCCCCCCAAAAAAAAAGAAAAAAAGAAAAACTCATTACAGAGGTCCTCATAATGTTTTGAGAAAGAAATTATAAGCGCTCCGGTGTGCCAAATCCAAGGATAACACATGAAAAATTGAGGAAATTGTGTGATTCTTAAAAAGGACATGTAAATGTGGTAATGGACGTTAAAAAATAGTGTGAGTATACGTGATGGTTCCCCAACTCATTACGGAGGTCTCATAAACTTTTTTAAGAAAAAAAATTAGGGTTTTCCGGGGCACCAGATCCATGGGCTTAATACACACGAAAAAATTAAAAATTTTGTGTAATTCCTAAAAAAAACAATGTGGAGATGAGTGTTAAAATATGGTGTGAGTATATGTGATGGTTCATCAACTCATTACAGAGATTAATAGGCTAATACACACAAAAAATTGAGATATTTGTGTGATTCCTTAAAAAGGGTCTGTAAATGTGGCAATATGCGTTAGAACTTTCCTAGCGCGAATTCGAATTTAGACGGGCTCCAATGTGGATATCAGACACCTATTGAGAAACCAAAAAAGACATCCAAGCTCTTATCTTCTTCGAAGTTTCATCTAAATACTTGAACTCGATCAAAAAATATTTTAAACTTGTCATATATGTTCCTCACTTGCTTGACATGAATGACATTTTTTTTCACGAAAACACTTCATTGCATCACTTTAAAATACGTTTCAGATGTCCATAAGACAGGGTGAATCAGTTACAACACAACTTGGGAAAGCAGAATCCCAAGAAATTTTATTTGTACATGAAATAGAAATTTTTGCTAGATTATGAGCTACTACATTCCATGTTCGAGGAACATATATAATTTCGATTTCTTCAAAAGATTTCATCAATCGCCAAACATCCTCGCAAATGGTCTCTATTTCCCAAGATGTTATCAAATTCTTTTGCAACATTTATATGACATTCTTTGCATATTGTCACAATATGTGAACCTTTGAACAACCCTCTTGTAGTGCTCTTTTCATAGCTTCCCGAATTGCTAATGCTATGGCCTTGCCTACAAATTGAATAGGAGTTCCAAAGGCATGAAGAAAATTACCACAGCTATCTATAGCCGCCATTCCAATGCTTGCTTTTAACATGAATGACATTCACGTCAACATAATTTAACACACCATTTTTATATTTAATCTACTAAAATTTCTTTATTATATTTTAATTTACCTTCCTAAATAAAATAAAAAAAGAAAAAGATCTCTGAAATAATAACTTAACAATTTTCATGGCTATTTCCACCTCACATTTTTTATTTTCATTTCCCCCTGAGATTTTTGTAATTTTAAAGTTTCTAATCATTATGTTGACTTGCTTACAAAGGCATGTAACCACACACTTCATTGGCTTAGCAGAGTAAATATGACATAAGCTCTCTTATTGTAGTTTTACAAATAAAATGAACTAATTTACAGAATTCAATATTACCAAAATGTAAATAAAGATTAAATAAAAGAGGGAAAGTTGGACCTAGTTACTAGGTCCCAACGACAAGATACACTTTTATCAAACAAAATAAATATGTTAAAAAAAAGTTGGTATAACAACTGAAGTGTCTGAAGGGCTATTCCTACAGCATATATCAGGCCCTATATAGTCTTCTTTTATATAGACGAAAATACTGGTACAAGTAACTAATATACTTTTTTTATCACATTTATTGACTGGTGAAATCAGCTTGTTCCAAAGTCCACCATTTCCCACCTAAATGGACGGAAAATGTACAGAACTTCCGGTGAGCCCCTGAAGAGGAGAGCAACACAAACACATACAGCAGCCATAGCCACCATTGAGAACATTGCAGGCCTGTACAGTAGAGATCGACTCCGACTTCCATAAGCCAGCTTCCTATCACAAAGTCTGCATGGCCGAGGAATGGCTTTTCTCTCAGTCATTGATATCTCTAAGCTGGTGGTTGCACACACTTCATCTTTCTGGTTACTGTTCTCAACGACAGACGGAACGCGAGGAATATCAACCACTATATGTCCGCTGTTCGCTTTCTTGCTAATTTTCCTCTGTACCAGGTGAATGTAAGAATAATGCCCTCGCAAGCGGGCATAATCTTCTGGTGTGAAACCTGTGCTATCACGAGTGTTCTTCCACGCTTCAATTGCCACCTGCATGGGAAAATTTTAGCACGTTTAGACAATACCGATAAGTAAACAGATCGTAGCCTCGTAAAAAAAAGTATATATGCATCCTACAGAAGGAATTAAATACCTTTCCAGGATCATCTGTCAATGCATCTAGCACATCTTCATATCCATCTATGCCAGCTGCAATATGAAGAGGTGTCAAACCTCCAGGCCCTACACAGTCGGGTCTAAACAAGAATTGCCCACCGACCCCAACCAGAGATTGATATTCAGAACATAGATCATCTGCTACATTTGTGGGGGTATATGTTAAAAGCAATTCCACCAAAGGCCTAGAATTCCTACGCACAGCTTTATGCAGAAGCCCCATCTCAGTGAGAGCATATTTCAAGGAAGAATCGTCTCCACCCACAGTTCCATCAAGGAGAATGTTCAATAGTTTCTTAACTACTGCACACCACTCATGGTCTACGGAGAACTCCACAAGCCACTTGAACCGCTTCAAAGGATGGAGAACAGCATTAGGACCAAAATGCTCTAATCTAGCCCTCAAATTATTTCTATGAAGCAACCAACCAAGTTCATGAATAAAATCCATGGCTTGATTTCTTGCTTCAATATTATTTGTCTGCCCCTTGACATAATCCAATGAAGTCAACTCTAGATCACTCTCAAGCATACGGATTTCAGAGCAAACATCCTCCTCTGCAATTATAAATGGGAAGAAGCTATTGCTGACTCCATGATCTTCAACCTAAATAAACAAAAGAATCTCAGCATCACTTAAGAGTGTATGCCACTTGTTTGCGAGATTTTGCAAAAAATGCATTCCCTCCCAACACTTTTTGGAAATATAATATAGGCACCGGATATCTTTTATAACATAACAGTAATGTAGAACAAAGGCAACCCATTAGCTCTAGAGCTACTTAAATATATATTGTTGAAAAAGGGAAACTTTTAACAGGTAAAAACTTATGCACTAAGCACCAAAAGTTGGACCTAGGTCTACTTCACAGGCTCAGTACATTGTGAGACTTGAATAATATAATCAACATGAGAAAATAATTTTTTGTGCAACTGAAATTGAAGAAGCCACAATACTCCAAGCAACCTATGCATAATCATGATGAAGTGAATGTCTTGTGGAAGTAGCTATGAGTACTTATGTGGAGACATATATGAATGAGCCTTCATGAATTGGAGTTGGATAACATAGAGAGAAGTCGCCATGTTAACCCACAGCTTATATCTGGAGAAGCGCAAACATAATGTAATTACCCAGCCATATGGTAAAGTAAAAAAGATTTCTCTGAGAAGGACCGACAGAAGTAAATTGGGCAACCTTGGAGAAGATCAGAATTTCCCTATCGTTTTATGGTTGACAGCAGTGAAAACTTGTCAGGACCCTTGGAATAAATTCGCAACCTGCTATCTTCCATGCACACATCCATAATTGTTGAAAGAACCTAGCCCTAGAAACTGGATATTCATCCTAGTCATCCGCTCTAAAGTATAAAGTATGAAAAAGAATATATTCCCTTCGCAAACATTAAATTCATTTTTCAAGGTAGATATATGTTCCATTAATGATGAATGTTTACAAGTAAATTAGATGCATTTAAATCATTATGTGTAGACATCGTGTGTACCCAACTTGGGAAATAGTAGTTTGTCTGAGCCTATAGGTAGGTGTCTTATGTGATTAAAGAAGAATCACCAGATGAAGGAAACAACTTACAGGAAAAACAGATTTGCACGTTCT